GTAGCTGGGATTACAGGCGCCTGCCTCAACGCCTGGCTATTTTTTTTTTTTTTTTGGTTGCAGCCATCTGAACCTAAATTCTTAACTCAGTTCTTTTAGTTGGAAGAAGGAATTGTACAGGTTTTATGATTATTGCACTGCTCTAAGTATATTCTATTTTCAAAGGTTTATTTGAAATGTTTAAAATAATTTCAAAAGTAAATACATAAGCTTGATATAATAAAAATTAAAATAGTTGGTTTTTTTTTTTTCAGTTTTTGGCCGGGGCTGGGTTTGAACCTGCCACCTCTGGCATATGGGGCTGTCACCCTACTCCTTTGAGCCACAGTTTGTCTTAGCTCAGGCTGCTATAACAAAAATATCATAGACTGGATTACTGGTTACCAAATTGAATATCAATGAAATAAGATAATGGTAAGTATTCCTTCTGTGAAGTAGACACTATCCCTTTGGCAGAAAAAGCTCAAAATATGTGAAAAGGATGGCACATTCTGAGGATCTTAAATATGCATGTGTACGTAGGTACACATGGAACACACATTTGAGGAACGGAAGCAACTGTCCCATTAAAGTGACCCTCAAGGAAAAAGTAAAATAAAGATAAACTAACTCAGGAGAGGTAAATCACTCTTATCCACCACTACAGCCTCCAGTTCATCTCCATTTCCTGCCATATAACAGCATAAATGCATTAAGAAGTCATTCTGATGTGGCTTCTACTGTGATGCTAAAAGGGAGGGGGCACTTTGGGGGATGATAGAAATCTTCCAAAACTATATTATTGTGATGGGTGCACAACTCCATGAATTTTCTGAAAATCATTAAAGTAAAAAGTGAATTTTAAGAATTTTATGGAACATTTAAGCTTTAATAAACCTATTTTTTTTTTTAAAGAGAGGCTCTACCAATATTTCTATTTCAACACAAGGCTAAGGTTAGGTGTGGGAGTGGGTAAGCTTATACTTGAGAAAGCCTCTGTGGTTTCACTACTCTTCAAAGGGGTGTGAAATTATGGAGGGAATGGAAGAATGATATGAAAAAATTACAAGCTTTTGCCTATGTCAGTCATATGTCAGTTGTCATTTTTAACTATAACTCTCTTTTTAACATGGATGAGTTAATCTTTTATTTTTACAAACACAGACATGTTCTTTCTGAAAAGAGTCTGTGACCTCAGAACCCTGTAATTTCTGCAAACATAGCATAGCTAATTGATTTTTTTTTTTTTTTTTTTTGAGGCAGAGTCTCATTCTGTCCCCCTGGGTAGAGAGTGCAGTGCCATGATCATTGCTCACCGCAACCTAAAACTCCAGGGCTCAGGCAATCCTATTACCTCAGCCTCCTGAGTAGCTGGGACTACAGGCGCCCTCTATGATGCCGGACTAGTTTTTCTATTTCTATTTTTATGTATTTATTTATTTTGAGACAGAGTCTCACTATGTCACCCTCGATAGAGTACCATGGTATCACAGCTCACAGAAACCTCAAATTCTTGGGTTTAAGCGATCCTCTTGCCTCAGCCTCCCAAGTAGCTGGGACTACAGATGCTCACCACAACGCCCAGCTATTTTTTTGTTGTTCTTATTGCAGTTGTCATTGTTGTTTAGCTGGCCTGGGCTGGGTTCAAACCCGCCAGCCTTAGTGTATGTGTAGCTGATGCCATAACCACTGTGCTACCCGTGCTGAACCTAATTTTTCTATTTTTAGTAGAGATGGTGCTGGTCATGAACTCCTGACTTCAAGCAATCCACCTAACTTGGCCTCCCAGAGTGTTAGGATTACAGGGATGAGCCACCACACCCAGCCAGCTAATTGAATTTTTAAATGATGTTTCAATGGCAAAATGTTTGTAATTCTAAAGGCTGGGAAAGAGCACAGGAGAATTCATTTTTACTAGTCTCTATACTTTTGTGTTTGGTAATTTTTATATTAAAAAATTTTTAAAGGTATTCAGAGGTCTTGCTTCCTCAAACAAGTTTGTTTAGAGAAATCATAAGTTGAAAATAAGAAGTTTTCATTGTTCAAAAAGTATTTTTAAACTTAAAAAATCCTATTTAAAATCTGAATGTGTATATTCTGACCAGAAAGAATGAATGCATATGAATATGTTTATGTGAAAACCTAAAATGTTATAGTCTTTATGATTTCTAAACCAAACACAAATTTTAAAAATATATATATTTTTTGAGACAGAGTCTCAGGCTGTTGCCCTGGGTAGAGTACTGTGGCGTCACAGCTCACAGCAACCTCAAACTCTTGGGCTTAAGTGATTCTCTTGCCTCAGACTACCAAGTAGCTGGGATGACAGGTGCCTGCCACAATACCTGGCTATTTTTTTGTCGCTGCAATTGTCATTTTAGCTGGCCAGGGCTGGGTTTGAACCCACTACCCTCAGTGTATGTGGCCTGTGTCCTGCCAACTGAGCTATGGCGCCACCCAAATTAAAATGTTTTTAACGAATGTTTTAAATATAATTTTGCACACAAAAGAGAATTTTTATTTTCTATATTGCTAAGAACTAGCAGCAATTAAGAATATACTAAGATGGCTCGGCGCCTATAGCTCAACCGGCTAAGGCGCCAGCCACGTACACCTAAGGTGGTGGGTTCGAATCCCCAGCCCGGACCCGCCAAACAACAATGACGGCTGCAACCAAAAAATAGCCGGGAGTTGTGGTGGGCGCCTGTGGTCCCAGCTACTTGGGAGGCTGAGGCAACAGAATCGCTTGAGCCAGAGTTGGAGGTTGCTGTGAGCTGTAATGCCACGGCACTCTACCCAGGGGGACAGCTTGAGGCTCTGTCTCAAAAAAAAAAAAAAAAAGAATATACTAAGATATGATAATGGTAAGATGCTAAGATACTGAGAAGAAAACATGTTTTGTTTTGTTTTTTTTGAGACGGAGCCTCAAGCTATATCCCTGGGTAGAGTGCCATGGCATCACACTCACAGCAACCTCCAACTCCTGGGCTCAAGCGAGTCTCCTGCCTCAGCCTCCCAAGTAACTGGGACTACAGGCGCCCGCCACAACGCCTGGCCATTTTTTGGTTGCAGCCATCATTGTTGTTTGGCGGGCCCAGGCTGGGGATTTGAACCCGCCACCTTAGGTGTATGTGGCTGGCACCTT